AACTTTAATGGTGACACACACACACGCACACACTGAAACAGTCTTCCACATACTCCTGAAATGCTCTGGTACTGAAAAATGATTCACTCTTTCACATGCATCACACTCACACATTTTATTGAAATGTTATATTACAGACTAAAATATGCATTTCAGTGGTGTGTTTGTGAGAGGTAATCGTTAAATAATGTCCATGCCGACAGCTCATTGTTCTTTGCACTCTGTCTGTTCACTTGTGTAGTGCAAGTGAGTATGCGGTGCTGTATCTCCCAGGGATAATTGTATCATAAATTATTAGGCTGCTAAAAGACAGGCATGGCAGGAATTCACACTTCAACCTTCCTGTTTCACAGACACCACTGTATTGTTTGTGTGAGTAGGTGTGTGTGTGTGTGTGTGTGTGTGTGTGTGTGTGTGTGTGTGTGTGTGTGTGTGTGTGTGTGTGTGTATCGCATTTAGCGCTAATAATAGGTCAGCATTGTTGACGGGAGCGGCAAAATAAGCTGAGAAAGAAAGGTGAAAAATAAAAGTGTAAAAGTCTTTGGAGATTGAAATGAATACAAACAACCAAACATGCCACAAAAAATACAATACAGTAAAACAAAAACTGAAATTAGTACATTTTGCACAAACCCTGAAGGGACGTGAAGAAAAATGTAAAATAATATGTAAAACTTTATGTTGACCTCTTGGTCCCAGAGATCACAATGATATTATCCTGCATGTGGAAACGGGCCACTAAAAATAGGTCACATTAGGCTAGTAGGGCTACATTTGATTCTTAGACACAGAAGCAGGGAGTAGTCCTCATTCCGATATGACGAAACCATATCGACGTCTGCTAGCATTTTGATGTGGATAAGGACGACAACGCAAACGTCACAGGAATTGGAATTACAAAGAATAAACTTCAAAGCCCACATTCATCCAAACATGGGCCGCACTGCCTTACGAGGCGAGAAAATGAAGATTTTAAATGCGCCTTATGCTCCGAAAAATACAGTACCATAAAATGGAAATGTCAATCTTGATAGCCATGTACAGGAAATCCATAACTTTTTTAACATGACTTTCCCATGTGTCTAACATGTGAACATTTGTATAGCACTCATGCAAACATCAAGCAAAAGGGGGTGGGCGGGGGGAGGGGGGGGGGTAATCATTTATCTCCATGACTTTATTACAGTTAAATCTGCTGCTTTTTGTATATTCTGGTGCAGTATTATGACAGCAAGGTGTGACGGGACGTAATGATGAAGAGATAACGAGTGTACAGAGTTTAGAGCAAGCCCTCCGCTGCATCCCTGCCGTGAGAAGTTCCCTGTTCCCATGCCCCGGTGTGTACGTTTGGGGGGGGGGGGCAATAACTCACCAGGTCCCCTTCACTTCCTCTTTCAGGCCCTGTGCTTTTTATGATCCACTCCTCTGCCGCGCATCTGCCGCCCTCGCGCCGTTGCTATTGGATGACGCGGGAGTCGGAGAAACGAGGAGGAGGAGGTGGAGGATGCAGCCGGGATGAGGTGGGAAAGGATGGGTAGACCTTCAAAAAAAAAAAATCAAGTCTATAAAAGTCTTACAAGACTGTGTGTATTACTCCCAAATAATCCAGATTATTTTGATCACGATCATCATGACGATTATTAATCAATTATTCATTATGTTAGGGTAATCATCTGAGTTCTTATTGCACTACTTTTCAACAATCAATATGTAAACAGGTTTTCAATGCAAAAGTTACCAAAGGATAACTGAACAAAAATGCATTTTTTTTTTTTATTAGCGTCACTTGTACTGAATTTGAAACGTCATGACAAAAGATTCTCTAAAATTTTTTGCTGTAATATCGCCGACCGTAACTTTACAAATAGATAGAAAGAAAATGAACAACATAGATGATGTGGTTGCGGAAATGTGCACACCCTCCTGTCAATGTACTTTTTTTTTGCCTTGTCGAAAAGGTTGATGTGGAGATTTGCCTTTGATGGTCAGAGTCAAGGTCACATTCAAGGTCACATTCAAGGTCACAATCGGTCACATGCTTTTTATGTCCTGTTCGAGTCATGTGGTGTGTGTGTGTGTGTGTGTGTGTGTGTGTGTGGAGAGGGGGGGGGGGTATGGGGCCGGGGGGACAGACTTGCAGTTTGGAGAAATTCACACAAACCCCTCACAGGCAGTACTGTCCCCGTTCAAGAATATTCTCATAATAATGTCGATATCAAATTAAGAACTCTAGCTGCAACTATTCAATTGGATCTTAATAGCCTGTCTGACATTATTAAATGGATGATTCCTTCTTCGTCAACATTTCGGAGAAAAGGGAATGTGTTTTTGATCTTTTTTTTCCATTGTACTACATTACAGACAGTACTTCTGTTTCTTATATTTTGTATGTATGATGATTCTTATGCTGCTGTGCAATGGTGGTGGGAATACAAACAGTTGTCAGGATTGTTTCAAACTCCCCCTTTGGCACTGTGCTCACAGAAGTGACAGCTGGAAGAGTTTTCTCCAGGGGATAATTTCATGAGGTACGATGAGACATAAAACTTGAAATAAATAAATAGCCATTTCAGCAGACGGCGTGTCAACCTCACGACCAGAAGTCGGCATGTCACATGAAAATCGAAAGTGTGAGCGCAAAGAGCGCCCCACCTTGGTCCTATCTATTGCATGTAAGAGGACCCATGAAAAAAACTCACATTTATGGCAAGTACTGTTATTTCCTATGAGTTAACACACACTGGTCAAACGAATTCCATTTTAATGGCCATGGGTCAAATTTTACATCACAAAAAATGTTGAAATAAAATAAGAGTAATGATGGCTTTGTCACCGTCGGTGTTCCGTGTGTGCGTTTGAAGGAGGCCTTGTGTGTTTAGTACGTGCGCCGTGTTGCTGACCCCTGATCGCGCCAACTATTTTAATCCAATCAGCTTCCTTTTCACATGACTGTCACACTCCGGCCGTCGCCATGGCGACGCAGCGAAAGGAAGGAAAAAGAAGCAGAGAAAGGTCTCTGTTGTCCTTGCTCTAAATCACTGTGACATTTAAACACACGCGCACAAACACATCCAGCCTATATGTTACTTGACTGTCACTTTCTTGAGTTTTGTTAGCTCTACTAAAGTGCAGCGGTACCTTGATTTATGAGTTTTACCAAGCTGGGAGCGCAATTTAATCATATCAATTGAATCATGTTAATCATAAAAGTGAATGGGTTTTATGATGAATTACTACGCGTAGTGTCATATATCGGTGTTAGTTGTGTGCCCTAAAGGGGTGCGGCCTTGTGAGTAAGGCTTTTAACTTTTTTTTTTTTAATTAAGTGGGTGGACTTTTAATTGAAAGTAATATTGTACTTCAAAAGTAATAAACTTGCTGACTGAAAAAAAAATCCCAAAGGGAAATAAAATGCATAATTGTCCCCCATTTTTCCCCCAATGGCAAGGCAGCTTTTGTCTTCAACTAACACCTTTAATCTCATCAGATTGAGTCGCCTGCCGACTCCAATTAGCTAAAGTGCCTGTGATTGTCTGCCTACCCCGACGCTGTATGCTAGCCAATGTATGGTGTTTTATATTGTTTGTTCGTTTCTGGAAAATAAGAGTGAATATTAAAAGTGTCTGAAAACATGCTGGAGACAAGAACAGGAACTTTGCCACCCACCTTCTGTTGTAGTACAGAAGTTTTACCAATAGATAGTGCTGTTGGCTGTGAGGATGTCAGCAACCTGAGTTGAGCCGAGTTTCTGGCTACTGCACTTGGCGTTGGTATTTGAGGAGGAATTTTCATTCTGAAATAATTTTTGGATCAAAAACCAAGCACAATCTAAATGTCATGCCCGTGAAACTAAATTTTAAAACTTAAGGCACGCAACTCTAAATTTGCATCTAAAAACCCAGAAAAACAGATCTCCGAAAAATCTGTGACATAGGATAAGAACGCTGAACAGCAATAAAATGGAACTTTATCTATGGGAAGGAGAGAGAATCAGCATCACATTGCAAAATTAGATGCTGTATTAAATACAAAGGAGGACTATTATCTTCCATGTAAGCGGTTCAGATAATGGATGAATGTATACAGTTCTTGTACAATCAAAACAATCACACAGTGACACGAGATTGCACAGCCAGCTAACCGGCACATAAGTGAGACAAAAGATCAAAACTCACTTCCCCTCTGTGCAGGGGTGAAAAGTTGAGCCTGTGCCCTGCGGTTTTTTTTTTTTTTTTTAAGCAACGCCAATTCCCCCTACCACGTGCTAATTCGGATGTCCAATTGCAAGATGCTATGTTGCCTCTTGCATTGACGTACTCATGTTCAAAACGTTTTGACTTTTTTGCACCGGAAACTGCTGACTGGAGTCCCCCCCGGTTATGATTTGATTCAACGCAACACTAATGTTTTCTACACCACTTTTCCACTCACTCTGCCCCCGTCCAGTTAAACAGAATGCAATGCTACCATCTATTGGTCAACATCACAACAACTGATTGTAGTGACATCAATCCTGTGTCTCCAGATGAGACAAAGATGATTCAAAACGTTCGTGTGTTGAAGAACTACTAAGCTTATTTTTTGAAAGTCGTTTATGATTTCACTAAACATAAATATTTTTCATAATAGATAAAATAAAGACAACCTTTCTTTTGACCTGACATATTTAGCTGGGATGTGGCTCATACACGCCCGCGATTCTCACGATGGTAAGCAAATTAGAAAATTAGGAATTAAAAAAACTCTCTCTCTTTCTCTCTCTCTGTCTCTATCGCTCTCCAGAGACTCTCTCTATCTCTCTATCTATCCAGCTTTCTATCGATCGATTTCTCTTTCCCCACACACTTCCGGCTTTTCTGTCGTTCTTCCCATAGGGCTTCTGGGTAATGTAGTGATTTGTTTTAAATCAGTGTAGTCACCGTTTGCCAGTGTTCGGATGGTTGTCGGTAGAGGTCGCCATTGTAATGCATTCTAGATCTACGGTGGCCGAGTGGAGGCTGAGCTAACTTAGCTCTGCTGTGTGTGTATCTATGTGAGTGTTGGCAGTGTTGGTGTCGGTGGTCTGTGCCGCCAAAGAGTTATCAGGCAACCGGACAAGCCTCTCGCACACTTTGTATTCGCCGAGCGACGTGTTCGGACGCTTCAAATACAAGCTACAAAACAAGAAAATAAAAATGAAGAATGCCTACTAAAAGCGACACCGGGACCTAAGCGAGTGGCACCCGTCCGAACTGATTGAGCGGCTATCGAGACGACCGGGACGGTCTGTGATTGCCCACCGGTTGATCCACAAATTGCATTCTCCAGGTGAGGCGACGCTTTTAAACACTAAATCCAACGTTGTGTTGGGCAAAACATCAAGCGTATGTTAGTTTAAGGTTCGACGCAGTGACACAGAGTTTTATTCGATGTATTTAATTGTGTTTTTGTTGTGTTTTATTGCTGGACAAGATGGTCTCCCCCCTTCTTTGTGTTTGTTCTCGGACTTTGTTGTGCTAAGAGCATTAAGTTGCCGTCTGGACAATGACAACAGGTGTTTAAACACATACAAAAGAGTGATTTATTCCGTTTTTATGGTTAAACAAAATGATCAAACTATAAAGAAGGGATAGTTTCCAACGTTGAAGTGGTTCACATTGGTGCATGTGTGTCTGTAGTGTTTAAACTGTTTGTAAAGAGGTGGCAAAAGTACTCCGTACTTGAGTAGAAGTATAGGTACTTGTGTAAGAAAAATACTGTTGTAAGTATAGGTTCAACTCGCTTACGTCTGTAGAAGTTAAAAAAAAAAAAATATATATATATATATAGATTAAAATGTACTCAAGTAAAAAGTAAAATTTTTACCATGGCTGTAACGAGACATCTCTTAGTCAATTGGTATCTCGATCCCTGCTCCACGGTTCAGTACGCGGTGTGATATTTTATAAAGTAGTTAATGTAATTTAGCACATATAAATCCAATTGATGAATACATTTAAAATTATATTAACCAGGGCCCGACCAATTAATTGTGCCCATATTAGTGCTTTTAAAATGGGCAAAAATAACATCTAGAGACAATTTAGTGTGTTCGATCTACCTACCATTTATGTTTTTGGAACGTTAGAGGAAACCAGAGTACCCGGAGAAAACCCACACAGGCACAGGGAGAACATGCAAACTCCACACAGACAGGCCATCGGTTGTCATAATTTTTATTCTGTCAAGTATTGGAATCTGTGTCAGCCTAAAAAAAACAAAAAACAAAAAAAAACCCAATAATATTGGGAAGCTCAATTATTTAGTTTGCTCTCCCTTGCTTGAACGAGGGTCTGTTTACTAATGGTGTCATCATTGTTTCTTTCCTTTCAAAGTGCCATGGATTCAGAGCAGTATAAGGTAGACGTACACTACATGGACGGCAGCAACGGCAGCAGCCACCACTGGCACGTCATAACGAAAGCGGGAGACTCGGACTGCAGGGCACGAGACGGGGACGGTGGTGGCTGGAGGCTCCTGGAAGTATCGCTTTCCGGCGGTGCGCCGTGGGGCTTTACGCTCCGCGGTGGCCTGGAGCATCGCGAACCCCTGCTCATCACCAAGGTAAGCCAGCCCAAAACTAATATCATTTAAAACGCACATTTATTAGAAAATTGACTTTAATAGCTTGCAGATTTAAATCTATTCCATGACTAAGCTAATTTTACTCTCACAGTGAACCCCTTTAAAAAGTGAAAATTGGTGCATCATGGATGCCCCCTTAAAAAGATGATAAATTCCTTATTTTGTATTAGACAATGTGTTGGCTTGACTGAACGAAGTTCCTCCCCTTACTTCAACGTAGTTGCTTGGCAACAAAGTCCACAAGATGGCGCCAAACAATATATTGACATTAGACATGGCTTTGTCCTGAGCAGAAAAACAACCTTTTATCTGCCCCTAGTCGTCATGGTAACAAAAGGCATACTCCACATTGACCCCGCAGTAGAGGGGGGGGTGAGCAGCGGCTCATTTTCTTCAGACATGACCGAACGCTCAAAACAGGAAAAATTCTAAATGTTTTCGCTCTGTATTGTTTGCGTGTTCATCATTCAGCTTGGACTGTAGGTGCTGTAATGTCGTCAATGTTGTTTCCTTTTGCCAGCGTCCTTTGATAATTGCCGACAAATCCTGAATGACAGGAAATATGAAAAAAATCAAACAGAGCGGAACTTATTTTCCTGTAACTCATAAAACTTTAGTGCGCATGCGATGTGAGCTGCAGGTGCTAGCCAGTAAGTGCACAGTAGATCTGCCACAACAAAGATTTAATATTTAGAGCACCTTAAGGTGCAATAAGGGACCGGGATTCTACCTTTGGCCACACTGCAACACGGGAGTCTAGTTCAGGTCAACCATTTTAGACTAAAAAAAAGAAAACTGTTTTCATAGTTTGAAGTAGAAGCTTCGAATCCAACCAAACTCATTTGCTGCTGTCAACATGATTCGTGAATGGAGATTTTGGGTGTATGTCAGATGCCACCTGTCCTTGCTCTCCGGTTTTATAACATAACCGCCCCCCCCCCCCCCCCCCCCCAACTTAAAGCCCAGGGCGATTAATGGTTTTTTTTTTCTTTTTCGTTATGCGTATTTTGACTGGAGCTTCTTATGCACCGGACTGGAGCGATTTATAGTCAGAAAAATATGGTATACGGAGGGACCCTTGTACTTTCCTAAAAAGAAGAAACTGTTTGAGATTGCACTGCCCCCAAAAAATGCAACTTAAAGTCCAGTGCGATTAATGGTTTTTTTTTTCTTTTTCGTTATGCGTATTTTGACTGGAGCTTCTTATGCACCGGACTGGAGCGATTTATAGTCAGAAAAATATGGTATACGGAGGGACCCTTGTACTTTCCTAAAAAGAAGAAACTGTTTGAGATTGCACTGTCTGGAAAAAAAAAGCCAAGCTGTTGATCTTGCACTTTACTAAAAAGAAGACAAAATGATAGTAGTGGGCTTTCTTAAAAAAAAAATTGTAATGTCCTGAAAGGAAGCAAAGCTATTGATGTTGCACTTTACAAAAAGAAAAGATTTAATCTTTCCTTTATGACTAAATATCAATTGTTGAATGTTTGTGGACATTTATTTGTGAATCTTAACCTGATAATTCATTTGAGAATGCACCGTTATCATTTCTTAAAAAACGTATTTCATTTTAAATGTCTTCAAATGTTCACCTTTTTACACCAAACCTTAAAAACCAAAACACAGTGCCTACCAACCCATGATTTTTAAGACGGACTCCGTGACCCACCCCCCGCTTAGATGACTTCCATGTCATTGCTCACACAATGTCACAGATGGAACGCAGCGAGCTGTACTCTGCTGCGTGTGGAGAGAATGCAGACGACAGGCAGTTTGTGTCTTCGTGCGATGTGTGCTCCCACGTCGCCTGTGTAATCATTTACCACGTGAGGGCTCGCTGGATGCCTAATTCCCGGTGCTAAAACACCATCACCTGTTTGAGTTGTGCCTGTCACTTCGGCATCGACCCAAAAGAAGTCCAAAGTTCAAACCCGGGGGGGGGGGTTGAACTTTCTGTAGGGGACTCTCGTGTAGGGTTTTTTTAGCCATAAAAAGTATGCCTTTTGGGGACTTAATATGTCACCGTATGAAATCAACCGTGAAGACTGCAGTTTGATGTTGACACCGTTTTGCTGTTAATATTTTATGACCACATGGATACTGGAGGCAGCAGCCAAAGGAGATCTGGTGAGGTTTTAACCCTTAAAGTGCAGCGAATGTTTGTTATGTATAGTGGTGCCCTGAACTACGACTGACACGACTTAATACGTTTTTTTGAGATGAGGTTGTTTTTTTTTAATTACAAAACATGTGACAAATATTTTATTTTATTTTTATTTTTTTTAATGGCATTTCCATTTCAAGTGAGGATCGTTGATTTGAATTTCTCACTTTCAGCCAATTATTGAACATGGCAAGGAACCGAGCACACAAATGGAATCTGAAAAAAGCGTAAAGCCTTGTAAAATGGCCGACTGGCGCTTGAGTTCAGAGCTCCTGACATCACTCGCATTACTTTGAAGGTCTCTGCTGTATTGTCGACTTGGCCATATTGTGCTCAGCAGTCTCATTTGTTCCAGATTGCTGCACTGCAAGAAGGTAGCTTGTGGTACCAGTGGTAAGATGATATCCGACACCAGATACTTTTACCAGATAAAGAGGCAAGGCTATCTATTTTTAGTGCAGGCTGGATAGATAAAGGAATGGACTCTATTTCGCTTCAAAGCTATAATTTCTGTCATCATGGATTTTCTTTTCGATGTCACTTTTTACTGGGTTCTGTTTAACAATGTTGTAAAGTGCTCTTCCGCACACTTCTGCTTGTTTTTTTCCGTGTAAAAATGTCGCATTTCATCCCCATTAGTACGTATCTTTCTGACGTGCAGCCAAATCAGTCAAAATTGAGGTTCCCTGTCCCACAATACATTTCTTGTCAATAAGTACTCCACAGCTATGTACTGGGCCCCGTCATCGTTACATTAAAAGCTTCCTTTTTCATTAATTTATACAAAGGAATTCAAAGGCAACTGCTCTTATGAATGTCTATGAAGATGCGTGTCTGTAGAAAATCTACACATCATGACCCACAGTGTGAGAAGTGATTTCGGGGGTGGGGGGGTGGGCATGGGTTTCCTGGCTCTCATTAAAATTCTTCACATTCCTATCATGACTCAGGTAATGCGCGAGGTCTTGGCGGCCTTAAAAGGCCTCACTCGGGATAAAGTTAAATAATCCCGTTTTACATGGCACAGCTGGGTACGCCGTCCCGTGCATACGTTTGCGTTTTGTGGAACGACATGTTGTTGCGCGACGCAGCCTCTCTTCTCACACGATGCAAAAAAACCCTCAAGTCCACGTAAAACACAATGGATTCATTATCAAGATTCTTTTGTATGGGGGGGACTTTGTGGGCTCACACAAACGCATGTGCCTCATCGATTATTTTTCGGTTTTGGCAGATTTCACCGATTTAAGAACTATTTTATTCCAGGCCTTGTCGACCATAAGTATAAAAATGTGCAAACGTTCAGTCAAATAGAAGATATGACAGCGGTGAAGGGGTTTGGGACTTTCACGACATATCTATCAAGATCCCATGTCGCCTTTGTAGCCTTTGCGATTTGGAAATTGGATTCGACTCCATTTGGAATTGGCTTTGAGTTGTTCCTTAGCACCTTGTTCTTCCTCTCTTGATATCAAGAAATCGGAGGCTTTTGCCAACAGCACGCTCGCTTCAAGCGGTTTCTTTTCATGACTCCCAATTCACTGTAAAACTGACCCCTCCTCTCACCGAATGTCATCTGGGACAGACGCCCACAGCTCACCTGCGACCCTCACGAAAACAAGCGTATAAAACAAAAAACCGGACGGTGGACTGATCTGTTTGTTTACCGGCGGCCTATGAAGCATCATTCAAACCAAGTCCCGACCACACGTGAGGTTTTGATGACAGGACGCCTTGTCAGCAGAAAGTCCGCATTCCTTCCTCTCGTCCCCGCACCACATCCTTCCCCTCACATCCCTTTTGAGAGACTGTTTTCACGGTCATCCAGGATAGCTGCACATTGACTGATTGGAGGCCCGGAGGAAGAGCGTCAACAAAGGGCGTGCGATGTGGCCCGCGCTGATTAGGCGAGCGCAGCGCAAACTGTTTAGAAAAGGGAACTATAAATCTCCCGGAGAGTCAGCCTTTATTTTTGTGTTGTCTGGCTCTTCGTTTGTACTGTTGGCCACATTCTTTATGTATTTATGTGGTTGGAAGCAATGAAAGCCAACCGTGCAGTCGAGAAGGTTGACGAGCTGTTCAATTTTTTATTTTTATTTTTCTAAATAACGCCTCGTTCTTTATCCACATCCAGGACTGTGCTTTACTACCGACGGTTACACGTGTATAAACCTAATTAGTGATCTTCAGAATGGCGAGCGAGGGCAGTGATTAAGATGCACTTAACTCATTCACTCCCAAAGACGTTTTGAAACGTCTTTTCAGACTTGGTCTAGAATTGGCTGGTACTGAATGAGTTTTAAATGGCCCTAACTCTGTGCTGTAAAACACTTTTTTTTTTTTTTTTTCATTCGTCACAAGAATCATAGTAAGCAAAGCAATTCAAATATCTGTGTGAGCATTCGTGAAAAGGGACGTGACGGAAACTCGAAGGTGATTCGGGCCAAAGCTTTACTCCGTCATGTCTGTCAAGAAGACAAACGTTCGTCTGTTCAAACCAAAAAAAGCTTTCCGTCCGGTTCGTATAAAACTCCTGCTATGACAACATCGAAGCAAATGTACTCGCCGTGTATTTTGCTGTGACCGAGCTCAATCGACTGGTCGAATCAAATCGGTTTTCTGTGTTGAAGTGAAATTCCAGCAGAGAAGGCCTTGTTGGCACTAGCTGCTTCCCACTGGTCAAAAGCAGCTGCGAGTCCCCAGTTTTACATGAACACCCGGTCTTCAGCGGGTTTGCGAAGTCTCCAAACCCTTCAAGCCACAATTAGGATCCTAAAGTTCTCAGAGTCGTAGAATCGGCCGCTTTGATTGCTCAACCGCTGCGTTTGGACTTGTCAACCAGTGTTTATTTTATGTTTTAGGACCACAGTTAAAAATATCCAAAGCGCTGTTTCGCAGTTGGCAGGGCCTGATCCAGCGAGTATGCATCGGCCATCGATTCGGGCTCTTCCACAGAATACATGACCATATCGGGCTCAGGTCGGGAACCCGGCCAGCGTCCATCAACCCCCCAGCCCTTCCCCTCGTAACCTTGTCTCGTAGCGGAATGAGGAACGAATGATGAAAAAGAAAAAAAAAAGAATAAGATGGTTGGTCGTTATCCAGTCTCTCTCGCGTTGAGGATAAAGACCACGTCATGTTCTGTAAATGTACACATGCCTGCATCGTTGAGTCATCCGCAACCTCCCGACAGGCCCACAGGTTCACTGATAATCAGCTGCAGATCCCGGCGTGTTAATGTGAAGAGCAGTGGTGGGAAGCAACGCAGTTTCGACAGTCCTCGACAAAAGTTTTGGAACGCGAAAGGTGGATTCCTTTTGTTTCTGTTGTACAGTATAAGAAAGACATTTGGGCGCCATCTCAGGTTTCATTTCGTGGTATTTACATCTAGTCTCTTCGGGAAGTAAAATACATGCTGGACATTGGGTTGTCCGGTTGTTTGATGAAGCTTCTCCTGATTAGTTCAGTTGGATTTGAGAAAATGTTGCATTTTTAACTGGGTGCGTGTTTCCAGCCAAATTAACTTTTTACGCCGTTTCCTTTTTGCGACCAGTGACAGTTCTTATTAGTTTTTTTCACAATGAGTGAAAAACCTGGCACATGCTGATATATATCCTACTACACACATAGTTTTGTTTTTGTTTTTTGGCCAACCATTGGTTGGATGTAATCAAGTGTAAATACTTTGTGACTTTCCTTTCGTCAAATTTTCAAGTGTCTATAGATTTGCATATTTTACTGACATGTTTTTTTCATTTACTCCCTATATTTGAAACTAAATATCTTGCTTAAGAAGCTGAATCAGTACTTTGAGTAGCCCACTTTTTTTTTTTTAAACAAACACAGAAGTATCTGTACTTCTGCTTAAATACAGACTGAGAGTACTTTTACCACCTCTGCCGACGAGGCCTCGTTTTCTTGTGAGGACATCTTCGGCCGGTCTCCTGTCAGACGCATCACCACCAGCTGACCTTCTGTGCGATCGCCGGCTTCTCGCAGGCGTCTGCCATCAGACACGCGGCCAGTGTTTGACAGCCATAAAGATGCTCAATTGACCCGCTCCTGACGTCCATTTCTTTTTAGTTTGACTTTATTTTAACATTAAACACACATAGCGTGCGGTGGGTGGCCACACATTCGGTGTCTGAGGCCTTCTGTGGGGACTTGAGCGACTTAATTCACCGCCATCACGTTGAAATGATCGAAAACGTTAGTGCTGTTCAAAAACACAAATTCGCTGTTAGAAACCCATTCTTAATTAAACATGACGAAAAATGTCAATCAAATACTAATAATCATACTCGCTGAATATGAAATTTATCCGTGTTTTGCTAGTTTTGCGCTGACCAACCGTCATCGCGGTCCCGTGCGCTAGCCCTGTCAGGATGAATTTGAAATCAGCATTGTGTGAGGAAAAAGTCCCATACATACAAAAAAATCTTTAGTAATTCAACCTCTTGTACAAATATTGCTCAGTCGATATTTCGTATTCATTTCTCGGGCATTTTACTGACTGAGTAGGATTGGGCGTGTATCGATACTAGGTGTCGGTGTCGGTCCGATACCGGCCTTATTTCGCGAAAGCTGCCGTTGACAATCCCTGGCGCCCTCTTGTGGCCGTTCTGCTATCAGAGCATTCGTGGCGCATGGAACTTTTTTCCCGAAGTGAACTGCATGTCAATGCTCTTCAATGCCCATTAAGATGACATTTCTGCAAGTATTTGTAGCTTTATAAGTTTCATTGTTCACGCTTAGTCTGGATTTGTGTGTTGCTGCTAAAATGTTAGATGCTAACTCACTCTGGGTGGCAGGATGACTTTCTTGGGGTCCGTGTCAAATGGTGTGCTGTGTTTGTGTGTCAGGTGGAGGCGGCCAGCAAGGCGGCAGCTGTGGGCCTGCAGGCGGGGGATGAGCTCGTCAACATTAACGAGATTCCCCTGAGCGGATTCAGGCAGGAGGCAATCTGCTTGGTGAAAGGCTCCCACCGGACGCTCAGTCTCATGGTGAAAAGGTAAGAGGGTCGCCGCGGCAACAACTCCAGACGACAAACCCCGCAGTGATGGAAAGGCGGGATTTCCCGCCACCGCCGCCGTCAAGTTTCTAGCGAGCCGGATGATCCTGTTTGGTGGGCTCGCGCCGCGGTTGTGCCTTTGTGACGCGGCTTTCCGCCGCTGTCAAGGAAGATTGGTTGTGGGTGACATCATACCCAAAACACACACACACACATAACTTTTGGACTTGACTCAATTGTGCTGCGTCAGCCAGTGGTGGGAAGTAACCAAGTATAAATACTTTGTTACTGTACTTAAATCGATTTTTTTGTTGTTATCTGGTGTCTTGATATTTTATTTGTTTTACTTTTCACCCCAAAAAAAAGGTTGGGGACCGCTGTGCTGAAAATTAATGACATCGATTAATCCACTTTGATTCGGGTTTCATTCCATTATGTTCAACTACAAAAAAAAAAAAAAAAAATTAGTCATTTAACCTTTTGTACAAATACTGCACAGTCGGTATTTTAATATTCATTTTTCGGGCAACTTTTTACTTTCACTCCCAACATTTGAAAACTGTATAGAACAGGGTTGTTACTTTTCATTCTGCGCTGATGACATGATGTTAAAAAAAAAAATGCATGATTTTTTTTTCTTCTCGGTACGAGCACGACATATATAAGTTAATAAAAGAGAAACTATTTTCTGAGCAGAACTTTTTTTATGTTATCAAAGCCAAGTATTGTATATAGTTAACAGTAAAAGTGATTGCTACTTTTTACATAAGGACATTTCAGTCTGACATTTTTTTTTCTTTTTTGACTCAAATAGCTGTACTTCTACTTAAGTACAAACTGCGAGTACTTCCGCCACCTCTGTGCGTCACCACTTCACCTCTACGCTCCCTGACACCGTAAATATCCCCTGTGGCATTCTCGTGGCCTTCATATCTTCTCTAAACTGATGAATCATTCCTCGGCTCCTTCCGACAAACGAAAGAACCAACAATGGCAGCTTTGTCTACCCATCGCTGTCTGTTTGTCTTTCCGCGATGTTTCATATCACATCGGAACGTAATCGCCCCGCAGACGAGGCCTGCCATACCAGGAAGGCCACTCGCCGTTGGTCTCACCACATGCAAAGCGGCTTTGAGTGGCAACAGTATGTAGTTCATTGTAACTGAGTCAAAACTGAACTCCTACTGAAAAGAAAATACTCAAGTACCGCTACAAGTAATTAACGTAAAGTCTTATGCGAATTAATGAGTGACGTCGCACCGAAGTGTCGCTCGTCATGACATCCGCCTGCCTGAGGCTGAGCTGCGCTGTATTTGTTTACGTAGTAGAAGCGTAACTAGAGCGAGGCGGTTACACTTTTCTGTCCTTTTGTGCTGTGGTCGGACCTCAGTATAACTAACTGGTATCAGCCGTAACTTTGAAAATGAAAACGTACTTTTGTGGAGGTGACACGTCCCATATCGCCTGCTGCTCATGTGCGATCAATACCATTGTCGGGGAAACAATGTGTGCGGTTGTTGTTTGAACACATCAAGTGCGCATCTGCTTATTGTCGCCTTTGCCAAGCTAAATGAAGAAAGATGTTTCCTGCCGACGCGATCCCATTGTTCTTATTGTGTTGTCCGACGGCCTCCGAGCCATCTGGGACAGTCGGCTTCCTTCCTGCTCTTAGTCCGCCTTCAAGAATTGACTTTATCTCCCTCGGCGAGCATGTCCAAAGTTATCCCAGACAAGTTAGTCACTGAGGGAGACGCCATATTTGCTATTTGGGATTGTTCGAGGGATGCCATGGTCGTATTATCAGCTGTTTTTGTTTCAGAAAATTCCTATGGTATCGAAACGAATACCCCGAAAATAACTTTTGAGAAACGTATTTACTTTGGCCAATGTTTGAGGGCCGCAACGAAAAAGCAGGAAGTGTATGAATGCTTCTAGACACGACACCAAATGATATCACATATATTTAAGCACTGTCGTAGTTACCGTATTTTCCACACTAAAAGGCGCATTGGATTATGAGGCGACCTTCAATGAATGGCCTATTTTTAAATTTTTTTCATACATTGGACGCACCGCATTATAAGACTCAATCTACAATGCATCCACTAGATGGAGCTACGCTCAAGGAAATACCGACAGAACGATCAGATGTCAGTAAAACTTTAATAAAGCAGCGACACAGTTTACTGAACCAACAGCAAGTTATAACATTGACTCGTTAATGTTGAACTCTCTTGCCGCTGCTCTATTTCCGTGTTCAACTGCGTAACCCGATCGCCTTAAGTTTGAACTCTGCGTTGTCTCGATCAAGGAGCCATTTTGGGGTCGACATATTACCGTAATAACCATACACAAGGTGCATCGGCTTTTAAGGCGCGCTGTGAGCTTTTAAGAAAATGGAAGGCTTTTAGGTGCGCCTTTTAGCGCGGAAAATACGGTATTCATTATTATTTCCAGAAATATTTGACCTAACTCGAAATCCGAACATTTTAGTCGACCTCATGCTAAGCTACATAACTGCACGGACATTTACAGTTTAGAAAGTGCTTTCCATTCACAAAGATTGACAATACATATTAATTTTTTTTTTTTTTCCGTATAGAAATCCTTCCATAGCATCGCTGTTCTTGTTATCTCGGGGATCATGTTGAACAGGAAGCTGTCAGAACGTGCTCCGGGTTCAGGTGCGGCCTCGTTACAAACAGGAGCGAGCGAGTATTCGGCATGCGGTGATGAAACTGGGATTGTCGGTCAAACGCCGTTCCAGACAGCCACACACGTCGTCAACTACAAAGGTGCGGTTTGCATTTCAGCATCTGCGCAGCATGCCCCGACATGGCAAATTGCCGCTTTTATGCAGGAGTGTCACTGGAATCAATGTGACAAGTTAGCAGCTTTAAAGGAACTTCTAAGTATCATTGTAACTATTATCCGGTTAAATACATTTTGACAGCTTTTGTAATATTCGCGCAGCAAATTTTTGCAAGTGCATTTCGCCCAATCCCAGAAAATTTTGAAAATTCAGCCCCCCTAAAAGCCGCTTTCACTCAGCAATCGAAAATTGGGTTGGCTTGTCAATCCTGAGTAGACCCGCAAAACGGTCTCAAGAAGCCACGTCAAAAAATTCACGCAAAGTCCGCCATTTTGCTTTGAAATGGTAATCGTAGGTCATTGTGGCCTTTTCCAGGGTCCTCGAAAGATGACTTTGTTGTAAATTTTGTCCGATTGCAACTATATTTGAACCACATATTCCAGACAGACGGACGGTGTCGCTAATTTGAAAAAACATTTAAGCCTTCTGTCAATGAGTGTGGGCGGTCCATGACAGCAGACCTTGATGACTCACCATAAAACAGGAAAATCTAATCGCTCCTTGATTTTGAAATCTCAACCCTGAAGCCGGTCTCACTCAGCGACGTGAAGAAAAAAAAAAAAAAGGTTTCATGAAGCCATGCCCAGAAGTAATTTACCATTCTGGTTTCATGTGGCAATTTTGTCAATTTCCACGGTCCTTTGAAGATAACTTGTCTTATGTCCTCAATTTTAAAAATCCATCCCCCAAAGCTAGTTTTACTTATCACCAAGAAATTTTATGGGAATGTCTATGATGAGGGGGGAAAAAAACCCCACAAGAAATCTGTCATTTTGGTTTCAAGTGGTGGTTTGGGCCATTTCTAGTGGTCCTTCAAAGAAAAAACTTGTCCAACCTTCACAAATTTGAAAATTCACAAGCCGCAGCCAGTGTCACTCTGCAACAGTAGTTTTGGTGGGCCTGTCTATCATTATTCGACACTGAAAAGAATTTGCGAGTTTTGTTGAAGCGGCCCTTTTAGGGTCATTTTGACCATTTTCAAGAATCCTTCAAAATGAAATTGATTGGCCTCGATATCTGTTGAAGCTCTCCACTGCCTCTCAAAGGCTCAAACGTGTAACAGATTTAGGTGTGTTAAGTTTACACTGGCCTTCATTTTTTTTCCCCCGTAATGTCTTCGCTGTTTACTTCTTCACTTCAGTGGATTTTGCTGCCCACTAGCCCGACCTCTTGCAGCCTGGACTCTCTCTCCTTCTTGCGCGAGGTCGCGCTCGCTCTCGACCTCGCTCTCGGTCTTGCTCTTTCTTCCTGGGGGTGTGGGGGGGGGGGGTTGTTCTCACCCTAGCTTAGCCGCTCTGAGAATCATTAAAAGTTTACAACGGCAAACTCTTGCCATTCATTGCAGTGGGTGGCCTCCCTCTTCTGGCGTTTTTGCAGAAGTGCACACGTCTTCCAACGGTACACATACCATCGTAGTTTCATGGTTGCACTTACAGGCCACGTTTCCAACAGAGGTTCAGTCCACCATCCAGTTCTACCTGGGGAAGAGCTTATTGGACACATGTGCGCGGCAGGGAAGAGCTGGGGAGGTCTGGTGTTTACAGCTCTTTGTTGATTTTTTTTTTTGTTAATAAGCTCATGCAGCATGTTTGGAATGTGCTGCACTGAATTTCGCTTGTAAGTGGATTTCTTATAATTGTTTGCTTCTAGCCACAACCTCACAACCCCTCAGTATGTTCAGCGCAGTAGCCAAAAATCGGTAGTCACGATTTGATTAATATTTTCATCTGCTTGGACTATTCCGGCTCAGTTGGAATCTAAGGAGGCAGACAGGACCGATGTTACTCAAACAGGTAACGACTGCGTTTTCATAAAGAAGCAAATAACTATTGAAGGTGCTGGATCGTTTTCCTCCACCGAGGATGGTGTTGCTTTTATTTTTCAATACACTTCAGCTAGTCTGTGGGATTTGTCGAAAGCTACGCATCTGATTTCCACATACTTTTGTCGTATATCCCGATGGAATTCAGGGAAAAGGAATTTCTGCCATTTTTGAATTTATTTTAACATGCGAGCATTATCGATACCACCTGATCAGACACAATCAATACAGTCACCGTTGTCTAATATCAATGCCCACGTACCGCGTCCTTTTCTGTTATGGTGTAATATTGATTCAACAGTATTA